AGTCAATTAAATTAAAAATAATATTGCCAATTAATCCATGAGCCGATATGACAAGTTGTACCGAGCCGATAAATCCTGAATATAAGCAGCACAAATGATCAAGATAAAACAAACAAGACCAATCTAATCCAATCCCAGCCGTTAAAGCTTGGACATAACATGCCATATCAAGTCAAGCAAAGGTAAGATAAACTTTACCGAATCGATATATTCAGGACATACCAAACCGAGCTGATCAATTTGGATAATTCCAAGCAGAATTGAGCCAATCAAGATGGAACAATACTAAGGTAATCGGATCTCAACCGATCAAGCCATGACGAGCCATATCATTTCAAGCAAATCCAAACTCATTAAATAAGGAGGATACTACTAATAAATCTAGAAGCCGATCAATATATTACAAGCTGAACCGGGAAACAAGCTACTAAGATAAACAAAGCCTATTTAATACCAGTCGCTCACACCAAGATATGATATGTCATATCAAGCAAAGGCAATACAGACTATATGGAGCCGATCAATCCTGGACATACTGAACCAATCTGATCAATCCAATTTAAATCAAGCCTTGTCGAGTTAAAACCATGATAAAACACTACCAAATAAATCAATCCAAAGCTAGCCGATCAGGACAAGCAATAGCATTTTAAACAAGGTCAAGCCTAAATGATCAAGTAAGTACAATATTATCAATTAATCTCGTTGATAACATGAAAAACCGATCCGAATCCACTTATCCAGGAGACAAGCCGCTGAATGATCCGCCAAGGTCAGGATAGGACAAACCTTTTTAAGCAAAGCTTAGCCTAGTTAATCAAGATAGGATACTGCCAATCAGCGTCTACATGACAGATTATTTACTGGAGGCATCGTTCAAAAACCTACTTTCACTAAAAAAATCGCAGCCTTCGATGGCCATATTCCTACATTATTAATTACAAGTTGTTAATTTTAAATTTTGCCTTATTTCATCTAAAAATTTAATTGATAACCCCCCAATATATTTACCCCATCCCTAGCCCACTCCTCTTAGATATCTACCCCCTACCCCCATTCAAAATATTTTGAAGCAACATTCTACTATTTCCACCCTCCAATACATGCATGACAAGCTGAACTGGACCTATCAATCCGTGAGACAAGCCATAGCTAATGATCAAGATTAACAATCATTCTAATCCCAGTCGCATAAGCCAAGGGTTTTTCTTGAGATGATGTGGCTTGTCTTTGCTGAATCTTATATATTTGGAAAAATTTATTCTGTCTTGTCGTGATTGGCTTGATCTGTTTGGTTGGGAATTTTCTGTATATCAGTTTAAAACAGAGGCGACATCTTTTTAAAAAAAGGACTGATATTTATTTTAAAGATGTGTTAAAACTTGGGAAAAAATCAAATTTTAAGGAATAGTAAAATAGATTGTAATTCATATTAATTAATTTATCCATTACTGGTTTGTTCAATAAATTTTTTTGCTCATGTAGCAATGTCACTGCCAAACGTATTTATAATTTTAAAAAATTAAATCATTATTTCATAATTAATTGATTTTAAATTTAGCGATACTATTCCTATACAATAGTGTATAGGGCATAATGAGCGCTTGGGAGAATAAAGATGATATCTTTCATTAATACTATATAATCGTGAATTTTCACAATAGTATTAAATGAATCTTGTACTGTACCATAAGATTTAATATATGACCTGCTGTAAATAGATTTCTCTAAATCTTCATTATGAAAACGCGTTCCATTTGTAAATCAAATATCTCTTCACTACGTTAGAAGCTCCATCATAATATTTACCTCAGCATTTTTTTATAAGTAATAAATTCTTTTTTATGGGGCACAGCACCCATAGGAATTTGTTAATGGGGGCGAAGGTTCCGTTGCACCCATAAAGGTGGCGCCCGTGCCTTGATATGGTATGACTTATCTTGGCTTTGGTGGTTAGGATTAGATTGGCTTAGTTTGTTTTTTCTTAATCATTCTGTGTGGTATGTCTTGGATAGATCAGTCGGTGCCATCTATCCTAGATATGGCAAGGTTTATTCTAGCTTTGGCGGCTTAGAATTACCATGTTTGTCTTTTAATAATTCGTTTCGGGTTATCTCCTGGATTGATCTTAGTTATGCTTTCAATTAGGCTAGGCTTTGCTTGATATTGTCTGGCTTATCCTGGCTGGCGGCTGGGTTTAGATTTTCTTGTTTGTTTTATCTTGATCACAGTAGCGTCACTGGGGGGGGGGGGGGCGCCAGGAACTCGAGTCCCATGAACGAACATTTTAAAAAAAAATTTGATAACCACTTGAATAATTTTTTTTATGATTCTATTAGATTTGATATTTTTAAAAAATTAAAAACATAAATTTTTATTAATGAGTATTATTTTAATTATTATATTAATACTTTAAATTAATTTTCAACGCAAAAAGAACTTCATTACAAAAAATATATAGTACTTTTTTACAAGTAGTCTGGTACATACAGAATTTCTTCAATATCCAAGCAACAATTTTGTATATAAATCAGATAATGTAAGGAAATAACATGTTGGAAATAGGTGGTAAGAGGCCTGAAAAAGACCTAGGAAAAATAGAGCAAAGGTAATAGAGAAAGATTACTTCAGACGTCGATTAAAGACTTTAGGGCCTGCTGCGCCATACAATGATTAACGTTCTGCAAAAAGGAAAAACGCCTTTAACCCGATGAAAGTTATTTATATCAATCATCAATTTAAGATCACAATAAAGAGATTCAATTTCTTTCTATTTGGGATAAAGATTTATCTTGATCAGAAAATCCAATGTTTTCATAAAATAAGTAAAGTCATTAATTTCAGCATACACTATATAATTCTATTTTATTCTATTAAAAAATAATTTTGTTGAATTGTTTTACGTAATTTTTTATATAACCTTTCTAGTTGGCTATAATTTTAGTGGAAGAATCTGTGAAAGCATAATTAATGGAAATTTAAAGCATATAAAGAATCTTGGTAGCAAAAATTTTATCAATACCATAAATATTATCTCTATCATAAGGAATATGAAATACTTACATCAGAGCTATGTTTAAAAAAACTACAATATCGTCATTCTCATCTTTACCAAAAAGAAATATGTTTATAAAACTTTAAAATATAGAATATAGTATTTAAAATGAAAATGCCTTTCAAATTTTGAACAAGAACTTGTTATAAATAATCCAAATTAAAATAATTATTTTAAACCTAACTTTTGAAAATTTGAGATTTTCCAAATAAGGGGGGGGGGGGGGAGGTGCACATTTTTTTTGAGGAAAGGGTAGATATGGTAATTGAAGATTTGTAAAGAGAGTCTAAAATAATTCACCGAAAAAAAAATTCCAAAAAAAGCTCTCCTGGAAAATTATTACTCGGGGAAAATATTCCGAAAATTTACATGGAAAATTCTCACATAAAATAATTCCCCGGAAATAAATTCCCAATTTTTTTAGATTTTAAATAAATAAATCGAAAAATTCTACGAAAAAAAAACCAGAAAAAGATTCCCCTAATTTTTCAGATAGGTCAAAAATAATTACGCTGACAAAAAAAAACAATTTCTTAAAAATTATTATATATCAAGTGAAGATATACTATTTAGTTGAAATTTTTTTTTAAATTTTTTTGAAGCACATTGGTATAAGTTATATTGTCATTTCAGAATTTGAAACTTATTTATACAATTTCATTGTTTTAAATCTTAAAAATATTTTGGGTAAAAGTCTTTAAAGATTCTTTTTTATTAAAGAGTGAAAAATTTTGTTCAAATAGACCTAAAAATTCCAAATATTTTTTGTAAAAGATATTTTATTATAAATAAATTTCTTGTAATTTTTATACCATAAAAATCAAGATGAAATCACCATTTTTTCAGTTTGGAGAGAGGTGGGGGCGAAGAAAATACGTGGTTTTTCCAGTTATTTCTTTCGATTGCCAAGCTAAAGCTAACTTTAACCAAATCCAAGTCTAAGTGATGTATAATATATTTAACTCGCAAAACTTTACGGCAGAAAAGCGAGATTTGCACTCCCCATAGCGACTATTATTAGTCATACCAGAGGCTCGCCGCCCTGGGAAAGAAGATATGAGGCGTAGCCTTGTCCGTTCTTGATTTGGTTCCAATATAAATTAATTGATATTACGCTCGGTAAGTTAATTCCTTTATAATATATTTTATAAAAATTGACATATAAAGTAGAAAACGTGAAATAAAACGAATATTTAAGAAATATTTTGAGCTAATTGAAATATAGGTATTACCTTTCCTAGCATGCATCAATATTATTTTCGATAAATATATAAAAAATATTCCCAATTTTTGGCTTTTTTTGCATTTCGTATTTTTGAACTAGAACCTGAAGATTGTCTCCCATAATTGTAATTTTCCAAATTTATATGTAAGAGATCATTTAAGTTTGGTTAATTATATTTGTTTCATAAAGTATAAAAGGAAGCAAAATGATTAGATAAAACTTAAAAATGGGAAAGACAAATTAAAAAAATCTCAAAACAGCCAATATTTGATAAGAATTCTCACAATTAAAATTAAACAAGATATAAGTTTTTTTAAAATTATGATACAAAAAATAAACTTTTAATTTTTATATTTATCAGAATATATATTTCTTCCACTATATTATATTTAAGATTCATCATTCAAATTTTACAGATCAATCTTTTTTACAAATGGAAATACATAATATACTACACCACATAGAAAATACACAAAGAAATAATTAAAATAAAATTAAGTCATAAAATATTTGAATTTGACACATATTTTTTTTTACAAAATTTCAAAATACAAAATATGTTAAAAAATTTATTTATCCCGAAGTTATAAATTTTATACCTATTTCAACCAATGAAATATTGTTTTAAATTAAATAATTATAAAAACTTTCATTTTCACCATACATTTTTCTTTTCTTCAAATTCTCTTTTAATTTATATAATAATAATATCGAAAATTTTAACAATAATGTTACTTTATAACCAAGTCTCCTGGATTGCAATATTGAGTTTTGTTTTTTCCATTTACCCATATTACACAACCAAAGAGGACTCAGAATCAAACCACGTCAAATCAAGTATTGTTTGAATTGAATAAAAATATAATATTGGAAATTAAAAATAGTCTATTATAAAATAATCTGTAATAAATTATTAATAAATTTTTAATCTTAATTAAGACACAGTGAACGTTTCTAAGTAATCCTCCTATTTTTATTTATTTTTATTAATTATACGATAAAAATCGATGTGTTTTCAATGCATGGCAATCAGAGAAAGTCAGGTATACTTTTTAAAAAAATAGTTTAATAATTGCTAAGAAAATATTTCTGATTAAATATAATAAGATAGTAAAATAAAATCATTTGAATATATAATTTTGAGTTTTTAATTTGTGTGAAATTTGGAAATGTCTATTTACTAATAACAAAAAAGGAAATTTTTTTCATTGAGAAGCGATATGAAAATTTCAAAAAACTTCCAAGGCCATTAAGATAAGAACTTTTTTAGAAAAAATTAAATATACAATTATTGTTATATACTTTAATTTAATAATATGTAGCATCGTATTCCAATAACAAAATTAAATGGAAAGACAAAGAATCCATATTTTTTTAATATAAATATATTACAGGTGAAAAGATATTAATGAGTATTGTTATATTCAATGGAGGAGAAAGTTCGCCACATAAGCCTCTCATCTATCCAACCTTTGATTTTAATTTTAGAATATGGCCGAATGGAAGCAACCATTTGACGGGAGAAGGCAAAAAGCAGATGGAAAACTTAGGAAGAAGCTTTAAAGACTACTATAAATATATTGATTTTCCAGCAGAGATACTAGAAAAAGTAGACCAAAGCGAAAAGTTGTTGACTAAATATGATAGGGAGCCCATTATATCCAACAAGGTATACAAAAGAGATGATGAAAAACACCCAAAAATTAAACAAAGTGCTAATATAAACAAGGTCGATGATGGCAGATATCATTTTCGTACCATCAAAATAGATAATTACGTAGAAAGTGCCCATCATTTTGCTCAAGGATTTTTCGGCAACGTTTCCGGCTTAAGTTATATTGAAAGGCCCCTTTCACCCAGCTTTTATTTGGATTCCATAAATCACACCTACAATGAAAGTTATAACATGATATCACCAGTTACTGTCAAGGCTGATATGGATTATTTGTTAAGCAGTGGAAGAGCCTGCAAAAAGTTCAACAAGTACGTGTACAATGCACTCACGCAATCCCCCGAAGCAAAATTTGTAAATATATATTATAAAACATTATTTGAAATTCTGGGGCCAAAGGCGGGCATCAATAATATGGATCTTCTTAAACTTCCTTTATTACTTCATTCTCTGTTAATCCTAAATGACACCGTATCACGTTATGAACAAGCGCTAGAGAATAATTCCCCTATGATAGATATATCACTGAAAGGCAAATTAAACTTACCTCAATGGATAAATCAAACTATTTTGAAAACACTCTTTAGGTTACATGATCAGGTTTGGCGTCCATTGTTATACGGTACGAAAGAGCAAATTAAATTAGGAGTTGGACAGTTATTTAATCGAATCATATTTTTGATCAAGGAAAAACTACAAAAAGCATTCATCGATAGTAATGACGCTATACATGAAAAACCGGAGATGTTCTTCTTTGTAGTCCCTGATTATACTTTATACGCTTTAAGGTTGGCTTTAAATGCAAATGATATGGAAACGAGAGACCATAATGAATCAATTGATACTTATATTACAAGAGTTATGAATGTTGAAAAAATAGATAAAATTAATTATGGTCAGGCATTGATTATTGAATTTGAATCTGTTGATCATGATAAAAAGGATTTTTTGTTAAAATTTTACGAGAAAAAGAGCGCTCACCCTAAAGACCTTATAAAAATGTACAACGCCGGCGAATGTGGTAAATCTTGTTCTTTGGTACAATTTTATAATCAAATCAAGGATATTTTACCTAAACAAATCGAAAAAGAATGTAGAATTTAACAAACATCAGATTATTTTAATTAATGTATTTTGACCTTATAATAAAATTAATATATTTCATAATAGTAAAACGAGTTTTGCTCTTGATAAATTAAGTAATATTTAGAAGTGTCTATTATTCTATGATATTATCAACATAATGAATTTAGTTTACTTTATTTGGGTTTGGGCTTGAGGGCTAAACTTTGGTATCTTATAAAAAAAATTTAGCTTTTTGATAAAGTTTCTTTATCTATCTCTAAAAATATCTAACAATTTAAAATTTAAAAAAACAGATACTTTTTGATTTTTCACTGTTTTTTTATTTCTAATTACGAATAATTAATATTAATACTAATTATTTAAAAAGTTATATATTATTTTAAGCCGAAATTTTATTTTCATATTCCGATTTAAAAATTAAATCCAATAAAGATACTACTTCAGGAAAAAAGTCATTATTTTTTAGTAAAATTGTAAAAAAATAATCATGAGTTCATATATTGATTAGATATATATAACATTTCAATTTGAAGAAATTCGCATTCTTATCAAGTTGGTAAGTTGCCTTTATGTCTACTCATTTGGAGCAAAGGATTTATTGTCTCAAGGAGAATCTTGCATTTAACAGCTTCTTCTCTTTACTGACTCTGATAATTGAATCAATATCTATTGTTACTCCAAACCTTCCTCCTGTTTATAAAATCTCAGATGTTTTCTTAAACAAAGGCTATCATTTATCTAAAATCGATCCTTCATAATAATAATCTGGCAGGCTCTCACAATGTAAACCAAGGATGATGTTAGGTCCTAAACTACTCTCTTAAAAATAAGATATTAATCTTTCGGCAGAAAAGTTAAGAAAATTGCCAATTTTCATAGTTAAATTCCATAGCAAAAATAATATCCTCAACAAGTGCATTTGTATTTACTTTCATCCCGTCTTGACTCGAACCTGCCGATCTTTAGAACCGATGAATAGTCTGGACCAAATATCCTTAATTTCCTGGTCAAGTAGCCCTCGTGACTCTATTTGATCCAAATGTACTATCTAATCTTAACTTCCACACTCTTGCACTAGCTGAACGGAAATCACTAAATACCGTTCCACTGACTCATCTTACTCATTCATAACCGTTCTACTATACTTTTAATAGCATAATCAAACTCTTCTTGGAGGAGCTAGAAAAACGGTTCGGTAGAAAGACCAATCAACCCAAAAAATCTCTTTTTTTACAGTAATACTTTGTATCGCACTCTATAACTCTTAGATTTTTGAATATTATCATCTTTTTACAGGTTTTAAGCCAAGTCTAAAAAGGTTAAACCGAATTTTTAAGCGAAAACTATCATCTTAGCCTAGATCGAAGTTTAAACTTAATATAATTCATTCTTCAAAAAAAATATATTCTTGCCTCAAGGCCTAGCAAATTTTTTCGACTATTAGGATTGAGCCGATTCAACAACATTACAGGCAAGAAATAGTCCAATTTTAGCAAGATCTTTTAAATGTTTAAATAGAAATTTAATATTTTCAAATAGGTTGGTTGTTAGTTGTTAAGATAAATCAATCTACTTTGAAATAAATAATAAATTGATAATTTTTTTTTATCAATTTCTTCGGTGTTTCTTTGCCAGTGACTATTTTTTATATTGATCAACTTATATATAATAATATTTAATCATTAGGATAGACTATAATATTTAAATATCATGTAGGTGAATATTTAAATGTCGCTCGATTCAGAAAATAAACTTTTACTTAAAAATATATTATTAAAAAAAATTCAAACTAGTAAGATTTATAATTTCTCTAGAAATTTCGCACCCGTCTCATAGATAACTAAAACTGAATAAATTTTAATAAAATTATTTTTTCAGTATTTTACTTATTTTATTTTTAAATCTTTCCCTTATATTCTTTATTAAGAAATAAAATTAGCCTATAAATCTAGATAATTGGTATGGCGCGAAATAAATAAAAAGAATTAAAGATTCAAACTAAATAAATATGAAAAGATTGCTGGGCTTCGGCAATATATGGATTACGATTCTTATGAAAATATTTAAAAAATCCAAATTCGCATCAATACTTTATCCTGCAGTACTGCCGAATGTGAAATAGGCTCTCATCTTATGAATTGATCATGGTAGATAACCAGCGTCTAAATGAGCGAGAGGGGTAGGAACAGTTTGCATCCAAATTTTTTGAGGGGTATAGAGGGTAGGATTTTAGGGTGGTAGACTAGGGTTATGATAAATTTATGGGGGATATCTATTAAATTTTTAGATGAAATAGGGCATTGTTGTAAAAATTAATACTTTTATTATTACCCTATTATGCTACAACAATATTGCTATATATCAACCAAATCTACATATGGCACACAATCATAGACATTATTTTACAAATAAAACTATTTCTGGATCATTTTTTGCTATCCTTTTAAATGTAATTTAAAAGAGTTAAAAATTCTATCAGTAAACTCATATTTGTGCCAAACCATATACTACATTGTTGACCAGATTTAATGGGAAATATTTCCATATTGCAAAAATTGTTACACTTTTACATGCACAATATTTTTATAGTTGGCAAGTAGAACAGTATTCATTTAAGTTATGAAGGGAGTACAATTATCATTAAAAAGGTGCAATCAATAATGTGGGAATATAGCTGCCGAAGGCGGCGGGTATTTTTTAGGGTAGACATAGATTTTTGAGGGGAGTTTGCACTCAGTGAATATCCTGTCATGTAGACGTTGTAGATAACTAAGCGAGTTTAAGAGTAGATAATTTACAAAACTTGGTATGCAGGGATTTGATAAAAATTATATTTTATTTTGTAACTACTATGTCAAAAACTAGATAAATATTTCAATTTAAAGCAATATTACATAAACATAATAAAAAATGTTAATTATATTAATAAAAATAAAAATTTAAATTAACAAAATAAAATTGAGGTTACTATAACTTGAATATTTATTAAATGAATGAATATATTTACATTATTGAAAAATAGCATTAAATTATTCTTAAATGTAATAAGTAAATAATATTTTATATTATTAAATAAATTAATGTATCGATCGGATATTGCAACAAAACTAAATATTCATAATTAATAATGACCTTAGATATATGAGTGGATTCCAGGTCCATATATTTATATATGAAAAAGGAATCATCGCGGGCCAAAAATCTTTTCAAAAAAAACAACCCAAAGAAAAAGGAGAAATTTAAAGATTTATGGAATTTTTTTTAATTCATATTTATATATTTTTTTAAAAATTTGTAAAGATATCTGTTGTATTAAATTTGTTACATTATTTTTAAAATATTAGATAAATAAAGAATTTAGTTTGTAATAAAAATAATTGCTTATATATATATATCATATTTTCATATATAAAAAAATGTAGCCCCGTATACAATACAAAGTTGGATCTAACGAAAAACATTTCATTTAAGATATCGCTACCAGTCCAGGTCTTGCAATTTAATTCTATTAATATTTTAGAGGTATAAAAATTTTCCAGTAAAATTAAACAGATGCTTATGGGTCAGAGCATGATTTGGATTAAAAGTGGAACCTGAAACATCAACAGGGGTCAACGCCTCGATTTGGAATGATTTGTAAAAACGACCCGATTAAGATTAAACCCAAAATAATATTATGTGTCTCGAGATTTGGCAAATAGAGGTGATTGATCAGGGGCGTCAATAGCTTTTACTCATGGGGCTCAAAAAAATTTTACATTTAATTTTTAAAAAATAATTCAAAATTTTAGTGGGATCTTCAATTTTTTTAGGAGGGTCGAGCCCTTGCCCCCTCCTAGTGACGCTACTATGATTGATTACATTAATCCAATTTTATCCTTCATAGGTCAATCCCCTGCCACTTCCCTTCCATCACAATTAGTATAAAATAGAAAATCAGAAATAAAATTTGCAAAGAAACGAAAATCAAAATTAGGAAAAAAACAAGAAAAGAAAATTTAAATAAAAAAGGAAATCAAATAAAAACTATCCCCACCCCCTCCTACCTCCCTTCAATGTCAACAAAAATCTTGCGCCATAAATCTTTTTATCCTAATGGTAAAAATATTTTGACAGGACCTTATAAAAAGGATAAAAGGATTTAATAAAATTTTGTCACTGTTTAGCAAATTGATTGATGAATCACTCAGATGATGTGAATCACCACCTAAAAAATAAAATAAGCACACATATGCTCTCAAAAATATTCTTTAAAGACAAACGTTTGAGAAATGTTTCCTTCATATCTAGATTAGATTAATGAATAGCAATGAACTATTGCAAATCGGTAAATATCTAGATTTATAATTAATATAATTTTTTTTCTGAAGGTTTAAAATTTGATTGTAGAATATCATTAGATACTCTTCCCACTGAAATAATTTTACATCTATCTACTTATATAAATGTCACGGACATAATATTTAATCTCTCACTTACATGTAAAAGACTCCATTCTATATTTCAAAATTCGTTATATTGGAAGCAAAGATGCCTCAATGCCTATAAAAATGTTGAAAAGTCAATTTATGAAGAGGTAACATCAAATGAAGTCATAACAGTAAAAAAGGAGGATATTAATATGTGGGATGGTTATGATTTTCCACCTACACCAGGTCATTTATTTAACAATCATAAAATAAAATGTATATAATTATAATTTACTGGTATTTATGTTTTTATTTAATAAAGAGTATATATTTATTTAGAAATAATAATAACTATTCAAAGTATAAAGGAGATCTTTGATAAACTTAAGATTCAAATATTTTTTTAATGGTTAAATTATTAATGAGATCACTTTTATTGGACAAGCTAGAATAACCAGGTTTGGGCAAGTATTGGAATAATAAATCTTTTTTATACCCCTGTTGTAATCTTGTTTAGAATTTTTTTTGTATATTTCTATAAAAAATAAATACCACCATGTGAGAACTATTTTTTCAAAAAAATTTGATGTAAGAAAAATTATAAACAATCAATTGAATTAGAGTATTCTTTTTCAAAGATAATTTATAATATTTATTTAATAGGTCATCCCAATTTTTTTATTACATTTTTGAAGAAGTACCTAACAAAGGGGTAAAAGTAAAATTTAAAAAAATTTAGTGCTATTCTTAAAATCAATCTAAACATAAAGAGAATAATTTAAAATATCATCAATGTCTAAGTTTCAAAATAAATAAAAATTAAGGACCAAATCAATTCTGACTGAGTCTGAGAGAATGTCTGTTCAAGTTCAACTAGTGTTATTAAATGGCTAGCACAATATTTTAGCAAAAATATATTGTACAAACCTGAATACTTTGCTCATGACAGAAATTTTGACATCTATTAATGAAATCTCAAGTCTTGTGAAATATTTTGTGTTGATATCCATTTTTAAAAATCGAGCCTTCAACTACACTAAGTTCAACCAAGGTTTGGCTAGATCAAACTTGAATCAGTTTATGCAGGGCTTTAGTATTTATATTTTTTTGAAAAATGCAAGAAATAGGGGGTTATATTATTTTGTATTCATAGCTTTTGAACCATAAATAAAAAGTACTATTTTTTGCATTCTTTAAGATTATTAAAAATATTACATCTATAAAAGTATTTTTAATTAGATATACATGAGATTTTTTGAAAACTCTGAAAATATGCAATTTGAACCAATTTTATACTAATATTAAAATCATAGGAGCCAGAAACTCTTAGAACCAGGGTTGTGAACCAGAACCCTTCAAACCCTCAATATTTTACTGAACCCAAACCTAGACTCTTTTTTAAAACTTAGGGTTAAGGGTTTAATAACTTTTTTAAAAAATATTAAATTTTTATTTTAAAAAATATATTAAAAATAACATATATAAAAGATATTAAGATTAAATATAAAAAACATACTAATTATTTATAACATATTACATAATTTTTATTTATTTTCATTATAAAAACATTTTTTGATGAAAATTATTTTACATAGAATTCTATTTTATTTTTTTTAGAGTACTCCATTTTATGTAAAAATTTTAAACTTTTACCAGCATATTTTTTAACTTCTATAATAATAGATTATATATTTTAGGAATATTTATTTTTGTTTTTTCGATTATTAAATTAATCCTAAGGTAAAATACCGTTATTAATTGCAAGTTTCAATTCACTCTCAAAGTTAGGCATAAAAATCGATATTTTAATTTTTACATTCGATTTTGGAAAATATCATGATAATTTGCTTACATTCTAATTATAGTGATAAATTATTTCTATGTAAGGCCTAAATATCGTAAAATAAAGTTTATACAAATCTAACCTTTCTTTTATTTTTACTATATTCTGAACCTGGTTCAGAGATATTTCACTCCACCAGAACCCAAACCTGAACCCTTTTTTAAAAAGAGGGTTCAACAGCCCTGCTTGGAACCAAATCAAATTTAAGAGATCATATTTAGGTATTTGCAGAGTTCTGGGCCCATCTAAGGGTTCAGAAATTCAAAATAATTTTGTTGGACATTTTACTAACATGGATCAAACAGGGAAGGTTGTGAGCAGCCATTCTGATCTGGGATAATATTATATCGAGGCGGGTTCTGGTCCATTTTGGAAAATCGATCACTAACATCTTGAAACAAAACAATTTTTAATTATTTGAACCCATGTTTTGGTTCTATTTCTTAGTTGTTTTTGCAATTTTATTTTAAGGAATAAATTATAGGTGGCCGAATTTTAATTATTTTAATTCCTGGGCCGGAACATATATTTTAAAACCAAATATTTAAAATCGCCATTATTAGCTATAAAAATTAGAAATAAATATTTTAAAACAATCCGGGCCGGGCATGAAAATATAAAACCCGGGCCGGACCAGGCCGAAATAAATTTTTGAAAAAAATCCGGACTTGGCCGGGCTAACTAATTTTTTTTAAAGAATCCTGGCCGTGCAAATAGTACCTCTGCAGGTCTCTGATTTTTATTGTTTGCTTTTTTATACATAATTCTTAAAAATAAAAAATTAATAAAAAGGAACCAATGTTTAAATTTATTTACGATGTTTAAATAAAATCGAATTATTTTAAAAAGTTGAGTAGTTAAAGTTGTAATATTATTATTTTTTATTGCAACAAGAAAAGGATTTAAAAATATCAAACTAGTCACATTTAGTTATTGTTAAACGATTTGATTTCGCCAATTTTTTAATAATCAAAAGTAAATTACCCAACCTTGGAAATTTTGTCTACATATGGCAGAAAGGTTGAACACTATATTGGCGAATTTCGAGGCTTAGGTGATGATATTTTGGCTAAATATTTATTTAAAGAATAGGGAAAGAATGGTGACATAATTCAAAGATAATAATAAATAAAATCAATCTGAATATCGGCATTGGTTACTAGATCGATTTTATATATCAAATTCGATCGGTGAAAAATTTGTGCATCGATCGGCACAGCTCTATTTTATAGAGTGTATCTAAATTCGAACTATTTTGACATGTTTATGGAAATCATTTCCTTCTTCATTTTCTATTATACGACCAAATGACGTAAATTTATTGAAGCTATTTGGTATTTCGTCATTTTTCCATTATCTAAAAAAAAATATACATTCATCATTTTTTTCAAAAAAAGTTATTTATAATAATAGTATTTATTTTTGTTGCCAATAAATATTTTTTTTTCTTAAAATTAATCAGATGCAATACTCAAATACGATTGGAGGAAGACTTGCGCCGAACGCGAATATCTTTATGACTATTGGTCCAGGGCTAGAGAAACTTTATACCAATATAAATATCGGCAGGAGTCATCAATCGATGTTGTTAAACTCATTAATGTAACAAGCATATATAGATTTTTTTAAGATTTTTTTACTTCATTTTTAGTCTTTGATTATATAAGTTTATTGCAAACAGGCCTGTAGTTTCAGTGAGTGTATGAGTTATTTGGACTTATCCCTAAAACTAAATTTCACCCCCCCCCCACTCTCCCAATTAAATGTGAGTATTCTATTTTAATATTCTAGAGGAATACAGTATCCGAACCTGGCCTGAATATTCTCTCGTTGGAACCAGCCGGTTCTTTTTAAATAACCGGATCTCAATCGTTTTTTAACCGGTTAAAAAAAAATTTTCATCAGTGTTTAGAATATGTGAAATTAATAAACAAAGTTGTTACAATCAGGGATCCAAAGTGAACCGGAATAAACCTTTAAAAATATCTGAACCTTAACCATAACTAAACCTATATAATAATTTTATAAAGAAGTAACCTTGAATTCATAGTGGCGCGATTGTGATCGTGATTTAACAGCTGATTGATTTTTAAAATCTGTTTATGAGATCAATTATTCTTTATTAAAATCATTATTTCTTAGATTATTTATTAAAATTTGAATTAAAGATAAAATTAATATTAACAAATAAAAATGATCTCATTAAACAGATTTTAAAAATCAATCAGCTGTTAAATCGCGATCGCAATCGCGCCACTATGAATTCAAGGTAAGGGTGCATTCGGTAGAGAGCGACAGCGACACAACAAATACGACACGACATTAAACGACAGAGCAGCTGATGTGTCGTGCGGCATAGCATTCATATTAGTTGCGACAAGCATATTTTTATTTTTTAAAAAACAAGGTATCTATATATCTTTAAAATTATTCCTATTATATCCTTATATGAAAAGGAGAAAAAATAATCTGAATGTTAGAAAAGAGAGGAAGGAGAGTTCTCAGTACTATTCCCAAAACTTATAAACAATCCTGAAAAGTTTTACAATTATATGAGATTAACCAAAGTATATATTTCATTGTATAATCTAAATTGAAATTTTGTATTTAGAAAACCTTTTATTATATTTTAACTCATATTAAATCAAAATTAATGGTAAAAAAACAAATTTTATTAAAAATCCAACATCAGTAGAAGAAAACTTGATGATCACACTAAGTTTTATATTAATTTTATTTTATATAATCAAAATTGCTTAGATATTTGGGAACAGGATGTAACTATCCAAGTTTAGCCTATTCATATAAAATGGGAATATCGACAATTCAAAAAATAATTATAACAACATGTACTGGCAAGTACATTGAGATTAAAAATTCTTCTAAATCTGGGAGCATATATTACAATTATAAACAATATTTCTCCATGATATTGCAAGCATTAGTAGATGGTAAAGGTAGATTTATAGTAATTACTATAGGCAGTTATGGCAGTGAATCAGATGGAGGTGTGTACTCAAATTCTTTGTTATCAAAAATGATTGAGAATGGAGACTTAGATATTTCACCACCTAAAAACTTACCAAATAGAAATAAATTATCATGGCCATTATAACTTTATAATTTAGTAAATTTTAAAAATATTACTCTATTTTTTTTATATTGATTTGTAATTATAAAAAGAAAGTAGTTTATTTATTATATGTGTCTTAAATATGATTAAAATAATATAAAAGCCCTCCAATTAAATAATAACAATGCAATATAATATTTTTTTATTATTCTTGATCACTGTCAAAATTGAAGAGTATATCAAAAATAATTATAAGCTTTTTCTTTCCACTTTGGTTTGCTCTAGCATGACATTGATCCAAGAATTTGTAGATAATCTTCTTTCTTTCATTTTTAGATCTAGTTTAAAATAATAAAAATGCAAATTACCTTGATCAATATCCCTCTTTTTAATTAATTTTTTGCAAGATAAATTTGATCAATATCCCTCTTTTTAATTAATTTTTTGCAAGATAAATTTGATCCTATACTAGTTGATGATGATGCAAAAATATATATAATATTATTTATATAAAATATGATTACAATCATTTTTTAAAATTGTAGCTTGTCTATGCAGGGGATTTCAATGGCTATGTATTAATAAAATCTTAACAAAAATTAGTATATTTACCATTTTCATATTGATAATTTTCATTACCACTCATTTGCTCATACATTGCTCTAGCAATATTTGCTTCATCAATTTTAGATATAACAGAATTTGTTTTTTTTAAATTGGTATACTGAATCCCTAGCTTAGTTTTTATGTTCCCTCATAAAGCAATCTCTTAGATTTTTCTATGCTGATTTGGCCATCTCTACTGCAAAAGAAAAATATTTCAGCTGATGGTATCTGATGGAGTTGATCAAATCTTCTTTATTGATTTTCTATAAAAAATTATTAACATAATATTTATTTATATTTTAATATATATATATATATATAACATTTATTATTTTAATAGCATTTCCAAAATTTACTTGCGAATTTTCTTTTTCGGCCATATTCTAGTTGTCGCCCTGAAAAAAAACAAAATGTTTTGTAACTTGATTTCAATGTTTAATGCGACAAATGTGGCGGGAATGTCTTGTCGCGTCGCAAAAGCTCACTATGAAGAGTCATTGGTAATTACATATATTTGTATTTTGCCGTGTCGCTGTCGCTCTCTACTGTGAATGCACCCTAAAGAGAACCTTTATAAATTGAGGTCAACCTGATTCGAATCGGTTTCAAGCAAAAATAAAATAAATAATTTTCAATTTTTTTACTTTACATTCTTTTCCTTGTGGTATTACATATTTTACTATATTCACGTCGTTTTAAGGTATCAATTCATTTTATAATTATTAAATTATCAAAATATTTGTTTAATATCCAGAAGAAGTGTGTATTAATTTTTTCACTATGACTTATCCACAATCTTTTAACTGCCTCTTATAGTATTAGATCCATATTCCTATTTTCTTTATTTTAGTATGCAAAATATCTAAATAGCTAATTTGTAGATTTTTAAATTAGTCACATTTATTTAATAATATCCCCACCTACCCTTGAGTTGTTTGATAGGAAAACCATTATTTCCATAAAGAATTTTGACATTTGAGTATATTTTAAAGTATTGATATTTTTATGGCCTTTATTATGAAAAATAGATTTTGCTTTCTTGAAATGAAAATGTTTTGTTGTTCAAATCTGTTTTTTATATTATTTCCTAGTTGTGAGGAATTTTAAATCTTTAAACTAATAATATCCATATGATGTGGCTTTACAAATTGTTGGTGAATTCTAATTAGTTTATCAATATCATAATATTATGTTTGCTATGACCTCATATTTTTTATTGTATTTATGTTGTTAATATATAAAAATTTATTTTATTTTTCTTTACAAAAAATTTAAATGATCTGCACTAGAGTTAACCAAGTCCGTTCCTTTTTTACTTATAATATTTTCTTTAATGAATCAACCTGTAATATAGATAAGTGCAAAATCCTACTTAAGTGGCCATGGGATTAATTTGGAAGGATGTAAAATACATCATTCTAAATAACATGACTCCCTAACTTTAAAAATTTAAAGCTTTCCAAATCTATTTTGCCATCAAGATCTAGCCATAATATTTCTATTGAGCATATGATCATGGTTAAATGGATAAAAAACCATTAATAAATTCTTGTACAGTTCAGTATTATGATATATATTTTTATACATTTATATACTTATAAGAAAAATAAATTAATTTCATCTATTTTTTTATTTTATAGATAAACAAAATATTAATTTAAGTTGGCAAAAATTGTAAATAATATTCATAATTAGAAATATATAGGATGGTTTTCCTTAAAAATAACTTTTAATTTTTTAAATACCCGCAATGAAGCTTTATAAACCTTTAAAATTCTAATAAATTCGGTTTTTTTATTGAATCAAATTTTCTTCATATAAAAGAGTTTATAAATATTATTTTACAAGATCTAGACCCGATCGGGTAATTAAAACCTTTTAATATCCGATATCAACAGTACCTTTGAAAAAATTCAATCAGGGTAAATCTTCTGAATATTCATTAATTCATATTATAAAACTATATATTAGTACTTTTAGTCTTAAGAGTTTATATATACTGTATTTCCCTACATATATATATATATCCATCCTTCCTTCATATATACAATATTTATATATATCCATTAAATAAATAAATTTTAAAAAGAATAAAAAAAATTGTGGCACCTCTGGTTCCCTTTTATATTTTTATTATTATGAGCAAATGATATTTAAATTTTGGGGTGTCATTTATTTATTAAATAACATAATTGTTTAAGGGTGGCAAAACATGTGTTACAGGCTCGAGGGATAGATCTATCTACATATACGATGTTGAAAAGATGGCTGAAGATATTAAGGAGGAAAAAGCAATTTCTTACCATGCTAGGAATGTTCACAAAGTAATTTCTTTTTCCATCCATAATGTATTTTAATCTTCTGCGAGATTGATTATCTAATTTACCTAATTGATCACAATTGTAAAGTTTTGAGTGTTTTATCCGGATATTAATGATTCCGGTATGAACAGTTTTATACCGGTTCCTATATATTTTTATATATTTCGCGTTTGTTTTAGTTTCCTTTTATTTATAATAGAAACCATTATACATTCGTAACCTTCTTAATATTATTATTAAGCTGGGTGTGACTTCTGCCAGAGGAAATATTTATTTTTATTTTTTTAAATAAACTGAACTTATTGATTTTTGCTTTGTATTTTATTAATTTTGTGAAATTCATATTTGATATTATTTCATATCAAACGAATACTGTTTATTATGGAATGTAATATGTATTAATCGTGTAGGTGGAAAGAACATTTGCCACACTCTTTGCAATTGATTTAATGGGCCCTAAAATCTCTTTCCTTCACGATTGAATCAACTGGCCTTTTCGCCAATAATCGGAGACTGGGTGGCATATCGAAAATTCCTTGGCTAAGTGGAAAATGAATTATTAGTCTGGGGCTTTTTCTGTGTCGATTCTTTAGTGCATTGATAGGAATATCATTATGGCCGCGGAAGGGCAAGCCGAAAAATATCATAATATTCCTGATGACTGCAAGCACAAAGTTTTATCAGAAAAATTTGTAAACTAATAACCGATGACCCGAAAGAGGGATTCTATTCTGTCAAAGACTCGTCATTCAAGTCTTAAAATCAAACTTCCTTCAGTTTCATAAACTCAATTCCAGACCAAAGACTTAAATCTTAAAAGAATGAAAAATTATTCTTGCTTGGATTTATCAAACCAGATTTAGAAGAAGTAATTCATCACTAGACTTTTCAATTTACCGGGGCTCAAGAGGTGCTAAATTTTTTCTTATGTTATAACGAATAGGTACCAATATTTTTTTTTGTTTCTATCTTTTTATAACAAGTTGTTTGTATAAGGCTACATTCCAAAATTTGCTTCTAAATATTTATAATTTCTAGGAAACCTAACGTTAAAGTTTTGAAAATTTTTAAAAAATGTCTTGCCCACTTTTTTCTTAATCTATAGATAAAAAGACTTATTTCGTAGTTGTCGAAAATCTTAATTTATGCGTTTAAAAAAACCCGTTAAATCAAAATTTTATTAAAAAAATATTACTTAACCCTCGAGATCACACGGTATAATTTTTATAAAATTTAGTATAATGAAAATAGAGGCTTTTTGATATTTTGTTCATTTATAAACTAATAAGTTTTATTTAAACAGTCCCAAAATAGTAATCAGACATAATTTCTGGAAAAGTTTTATTTAAAAATAGAAAAATAAGGACAAAAATCTCCCAAACCTTTTATTATCATTTTTTTAATATGTAATTGATGTTACAATTTTTTTTATCAATTACAACTGGCAGATGTTACCCGGTTTTCAGATCTAAACGTGGACCAACCTCTTGGACGAGGTTAGGTTTAAGATTAGTTTAAAGTTTAGGCGAAAGGGTCACCAGATATGGAGTAGGGTCAAATAAAAAAAAGGTTTAATAAAATTAATCGAAATATTGTATATTGTTTTTGTTTTTACAATTTTTAAAATTTTCATAAATAAGTATCCTGACACTCATTTTTAAAAAATCATTCAAAGTTTGATGGGCATCTTATGAAAATCGAATATTAAATCCTTCGTTTTTTTTATTGATATTTTTTAACATCCATTGTGATTTTGTTAAATTTAATATGGAAATCAATTTGATAAAAATGCAATAGTATCTTATAAATAATATAATAAATCAGATACGCTAAAAATATATCTAGATAAAAATATTGATAATTTTTATATAATTATCTCTAGATCAAATACAGATATCGCATTTATATATGTCGATATAGTCTAGATATTTTAACAAACAGTACGCATTGTTTTCTTAAGATCATAATGATCTTCGATTCGATATCTACTCGCTTATGCATCTATAAATATGTTAACAATTAGAGATGACAACCTTAAAAAAAGGCAGCTACCATCAGGTCATCAACAACCTGTTGTTATAAATACATTCCATTTTTAAATTTAGGGTAATATCTAATTGTTTTTAAGTTAAATCGTTTAGAAGTGATATAATTCCCTATATCTACTCTATATGTCTGAACTTGAAGGAAATGTTCACGATCCCATTTATTTTAGGTATCACCGCAACTAGTGATGCAAATTCACTCTATTTGAGTCGATTTTTATAAACGGTTTACTCAATATTTTATTCGGAAAAATATTACGCAAGCCTGAAGATTTTGCTTAATGATGGTACAACGATTTGTATCTATCAGCGAAATCCCGATGCTTAGGCAGTATTTTTCTGGCTAAAATATTGAGTTAGCCGTTTTTAAAAATCAAGCGATTTTGTTTCACTATCTACTTCGACAATCATTCGTCATCTAAAGCTTAAAAAGATCATTGTAGTTTACCAACTTAATCATTTGAAAAAGTTATGAATATTCAAAATATGTTACCTTTTCATAGATCCTCAACATCATCTAAAATTTTATACTTTTTCTTTTCATAAAGGTAATTTTCCTCTCTTTTTTTTAACCTTTTCTAATTATCCTTACAACACCTTAAACATTAAAAATTCTTGTATTTTTTGAAAAAAAATTAAACTCCTTCCTTGATAATTTATGTCATAATGTTGCGTCTAAACATATATTATAATTTTACATAGTCTCCCCTAATATATAATATTATTTATTAATATGTATTTTTTTTAGATATAGATATACATAATGAAACTGTATGGTGTGATGTATGAAAAGGTAAAATATTTTGAATATTCATAAAATAACATTTTTCAAATGATTAAGTTCATAGGTTGCTTAAGACCGTAATTGTAGATGGAGTGAAGTCATTAAAGATCAGGGGATAAGATATATTTTTTAAAAATATAAAAAAGTTTTTAAAATTATCATGCTTTAGCCTTTAGGTGACGAATTGATTGCTGAAGCAGTAATGATAACTAAAAGAGATTGGAAATTGTAAAATTACTCCAAAGGTTTTAATTAAATGCCCCAAACTTAAAAATACAATTTTGAAAGATGCATCTATTATATTATAGATCACCTTGCTAGTGATGGCAACTTATTTATTGTACATGATATAAAATAATATATTATATCATAAAGGGTTGGATCTGGACACTCTCTTTCTTGAATAATACCAGGTTTTGTTCTGGAGGCTGGGACAGCTGCCTTAAAACATGGGATCTTGGTCAATCCAGTTTGGAAGAAATTGGAGCCTTTAAGTTATTTCGTAATTTTATAAATATATTATTTTCTTTCTTTCTTTTGATATATATATTAGAAATAATAAATTTATAGAATCGTTAAAATAGTAACAAGTAAATGATAATATTGATTAAATATAATTTATTTATAAAATATAACTCGCTGAATTTTAAAATAAAATTTTGAAAATTTATTACATAACACTTCAATCTAGGTGTGAATCGGCCATCTTATGTTCATCCTTTGCCTCGCCCTCACTAATAGCCCTTGGCACTTATCACAAAACCGTTAGACTAATAGATCCCAGAATTTCAGCCTCAGACTATAACCTCAAGACTTTAGCCAATTTTACAAATAAAAATTTATGTACCCCAAATTTTGACAGCGTTTCACGTAGCGCTACACCTAAAAACGTCGTTTTCAAAGACCGAAAAATGCACAACGGTTTTTATGCTTTATAATAGAATTTTAAACTTATGTCATTTTAGATAATAAAGAATGATGGGAAGGAAATATCAGTAATTTAAGAATCGGACAAGTGTTTCCTGGAAACTATTAATTTAAAATTATATATTAATTAGGTCCTATATTGTGTCTGACTATCGATTCAGAGCGGAATTTACTGATCACCGGAAGTGAGGACAAGTCTATATGCGTCGCAGATTTGAGACAAAGCTGTGGAGGCAGTAGCTACGAGGTTGGAAAAATGGAAGCCAAACCTCTTTATAAGATACCGGTTTTTAAACTTATACAAATAAATTCTTCAACTTATATTTGTATATTCAAATTAAATTTAAAATTTTTTGGCTTATACTACTCATACACGTTTAAATTCTTTTATTCCTGCTTTTACTCCTGTTTAACGGTATCCTCCAATTACCATCCCTTTACATGATCCTGGTCATCCTATAGGTTAAGATCCCATTTTTTACGTTATTCACCACCATTGCAGTTTAGATTTTTAATAACTCATTCCGACTCATTAAACTTTTTTAAGCCATTAGCCTATTTTTCCATATACCTTTCTTTTCATCATTCATCTACCTTCTACTTATCTTTGTCCTCTTCCAATTCCGCTTCGTTTGCCAATTTTGTGGGCCATGTATCACCCTCATATATCTTAAATCGAGATATGTAAGTTTGTAAACCATTTGAGACTTGAAATTTTCTAAATATATTCATCATTTTCATTTCCATCATTAGCATATCCAGGATTTATGGGGCAGGTATACTCGGGTGTATTTTTTCACAATAATTTTTTGGATGACTTTAGACCAGCTTTTTATAGGTCAAGTAGCCTGTGGTTACATTTTTTAAAAAATAGTTTGGTTTTACTTTTTTTTTCAAATATAATTTAAAATGTTTTTTTCTGAAAAATTTGAATCGTCATTATTTAAAAAGTTATTAACTTATTCGCTTGCTCATCCAATTTACCATACTCATCCAATTTACCATAAATTTGATTATCGATTTCTCTGCAGCAAGAAATTTTACATCAACGTTACTACCACTAGACTCATGCCAAAAAAATGTCTACATTCATTCTCACTAAACATAATTTTATTACTACCTGTCTCATTTTTGCATCATACATCCCTCTTGTTCAGGGTAGTGTTGTTAAACGGCTAGTTTTGAGCCGATTTTTTAAAACGGCTAACTCAATATTTTAGCCAGAAAAATATTGCCTAAGCCTCGGGATTTCGATAATATATGTCTAGACCCCTATCCCTTCTGTGAGCAAAATTTTCAGGCTTACATTATTTCTGGATGAAATATTGAGTAAGCCTTTTTTTAAAATCGGCTCAAAACGAGCCTTTTAACAACACTAGTTCATGGCCTTACCAATCCCTCATATTTCCCAGAATTTTCCGTCGCAGCTTTGCATATTCCCTACACTTCTCTTACTATTGAACCGGCCTCAAAGTTTATCAGGTCTCATGAATAGTGAATGTCACTGTCTGTCAGGAGGATACTCTATCATTTTTATATATTTTAAATCAGGGGCATGGAGCGAAACGGGACACGTTCTAGGAGCGGAACTTAGGAAAAATTAGGGAACATGAAAGGAACGGGAACGTTTTCGGGACTGTTTTGGAACGTTCCGGCTTATTCAAATATTCTATTTTTATTTTCTTGATTCCAGTTTGCTTCGCATAACAATGTTATTACCCATTATTTAGTATTATTATGTGATTTTAGGAATTAAAATTAAAATTTAACTGTTTTATAAAATAAAAGTTTTAAATTTCAATGGATAGTATTGTTACGAAGTTAGTGTTGAAAGGTGTTTCGACACTTAAATTTATAGTAACACTACTGCTCAAATCTAAATGATAATCTTTTAGAATTTATTTTATAAGTTAAGAAAAAATATTGTTAATTATATTTCCTCTAATTTATGTGTATAATCTAGCTCAATGGTATACCTCTTTGTTTCTCTTACAATTCGAATCATATGTGGGTAGGAGATGATGTAGGGAGGGTCTATCTATTTGATCCCTTTAACCTATTCAATATGATAGGAGTAAGTGTTTTTTTTAAAAAAGATTTAATACAAAAAATTCACCGCATTTGAATAAAAAAATCTTTTACTGCTTAAAAAAAAGCATTTTTTAAAAAAAAACTAATTATAATAATTAATTACTTGAGTAATTATCTTATTGTTTGAAACTTTACATGCTGTTTTATAATGGTTTGAATAATTCATTCTATATTCAATTGCTTTTTAAAGTATTTCGATTCCGGCCACGCTTACTCGGTTAGAAGTATAAAACACAGAAACGGGTTGCTATTTACTTGCTCAGCTGATAAATCGTTTAAGGTTTTCGACCCAACTTTCCCACCTAAACTTGTTTATTCCCACAAAATTTGCCTGGAAGGAGAAATGGCTTCAGTAAAATATTCAACTTTAAAAAATAAATAGTTTTTAATTTTTCAAATATTTTATAAGACTGCTATTTATATCTCCAATATTTTATACTTAAATATAAATAGACAGGTATATTTAAAAAAATTTTTTTATTAAAATATAATTATCGTATTTTTAGAATTGTGGATTTGAAACATATTTTGATAAATTTTTAATTTACTTGTAAATAAAATTGTTCATAGGCATTATTGAAAAAAAAAATTCGATTTGATAAAATTATATATATATTTTTTAAAAAAATTAATCTATCAATAGAATCTATATAAATAAGAGATCTGCAGAGCTCAAAATTTTAAGCCTGACCCGGATTTTATACAGTTTCTATTTAGCCCAGCCATGCCTCTAAATTATGTTTTATCTGACTCCTCTGGGACTTTCAATTTTTTTAAAAAAATTTTTAATTATTTTTCTCGTCTCGGCCTGAGTTTTTAAAATTTCGTTATTTTAGATAATTTTTCCCGGTATTTTGTAATTGTTTTTAAAGTAAAAGAGCAGTAAAAGAACGTTAAACTATTCATTATATGTTCCTATAACTGATTAGTTGATATAATTTAAAGTTATTTTTAAAAAATTGGGCCTATTTTTAAAGGGTTAGTAAAAAAAAATTTAAACACGGTTAAACTATTTTACGCCCTGCTTTGGGAGGGGGAGGGGGGGGGGGGTATGAAAGATATTTAATAATAGATATTATTTTCGAATTGATCGTAAATAAATAAAGATTTTTAAAAATAAGTTAATCAAGATATATATTATATAAGAAAACAATCATAATATGTAAATTGGGACATATATAAGAAAATAATCATAAAATGGAAAATGGAATTTACCTTTTTAACCTCAAAAATTTATTGTTTTCCTAATTCCTTGTATGAACTTTGATCGAAAACTCAAATTTTTAAAATAGATTTAATTTATGATTAATAGTAATAAGAGCGAAATTTATTTTCACTATAACATAAAATTATAATTTTAAAAAATATGGCCAATAAATTATTTATTATTTTAACCAGTATTTGATAAATTGTATATAATATAACAAAAATTATATTTTTTCCAAGGGGTCATTAAAATTAATGGTAAAGATAAAATTTTATGAAAAAAATATTAAATTAAATTCATAAATATATTAAATGGGAGATTTTTTATAATGATAATTGATTTTCAAATAATAATAATCCAACTATAAAATTTGATCATGTTAAATTCCACCTTTCAATAAAAATTCATAATATTTGAATTTTTTAAAAAAAAGCTATTTAAATATGCTCAGCTGGTGGCTGGTTATTTAATGTAAAGTTATGATTGATTTAATTATTTGCCTATTTATATCAAAAATAACAGTTAGACTACAAAAACGAAGTGTTGGCAGTTGCTAGTGCTGATGGGGGTATCAATGTTTGGAAAAAGAAAAAAGGATTATAATGCAATTTATTATTTATTTAATATAATATAAAATGAAGGTGATAAAAGCAGTTATTTCTATAGATATAATGTTTTATTAAATGCTAATGATTTTTATATAATGTATTTTTTATAATTTTGATTTCATAATTTTTAATGTGCTCTGCGATTTTAAAAAACTTTATTAGAAAATAATGGATTAATAAATATAATCTATGTTGATGTAAAAAAAATTAAAATATTATTGTAATATAGATTTATTACAGATTATATAAAAATTTAGAGGCATAAGGTGAATAATTTTAAAAATAAGAGTAAATATAATATATTATATAACTTTATTTAGTTAAATAAAAAACAATTGAACGGGAAAAAATTTTTTATCACATAACTTTTCCCTGCTTTTACAATTTAGATCTCATGGGTCCTAGAATTATTTTGTATCTACAATGCACCCAGTTTTGACTTTTTTTCATATTCATTTAAATTTTTATTATCATTGCTATAAAACCCAAAAGAGTAAGAGCTAGAGAAAAATTTTGCTGCATCTGCATACTGCACGAATTTGAAATTAAATAAAACCAGCAAAAATTCTCTGTGTGTTCTTATTGACTGTTATTAAGAAAATTATTGTATTTCCATTTTTTGTCGTTGAATCCCCCCCCCCTCTCTCACCATAAGAGTGTGAGGTAAAGTAAAAATAAACATAATTTTAGATTTAGAGGAACATAATCGGTAAAAGAGTTTTAATTTTTAATAGATATTGATATCTAATGCTGGATTAAAATCATCCATTCACAGATAACATCTTAAGTTCTAACACAATTTGACTTTTTAAACGGTTACAAGGATAATGTAATTTTATAATTCCTTTTTTGTAATTAGTAATTAATTACATATTAGCAGTTATAATTAATAATTACATTTATATAATTCATTTTCTTAAATAGTTTTTATGAAAAACGTTAATAATTACAATCATTCATTTTTTATATTTAAAACTTTTATTCCTTGGACTTTGACGATAACTTCGATAATTGCTCTTCAAACAATCTTATAATCAGTATAAGATAAATCTAAATTTTCAATATTCAATTTTTTTTAAAAATAACTGATAAAATCACAAGCGCTGCTTCTGCATTCAGCGATTAAATCTTAAAGGGTCACAATCAACCACCAGTTATTTCCTAGAACATGTGAAGGTATATTTATTATCTTTTTGTTCCTAATCTTGTTCCTTTAGAGAAAACATCCTTTTTTCAAAGTCATCCAAATTAAGTCATCAATAGGTTAATGATTTTATTGTTAATCTTTGTTATAAAAAGGAAGGCATTGTCTACATCAGCACCTGTAGAATGACTATTTAACTTTGGGACTTTTCTAAATAAGAATTATAGAACACGTTTAAATAACGAACTTATTTTAAATTGATACCTTAAAAATAAGTTATACGTTTTAAAATATTTGTTAAAAAGATATTCACTAGCATTTGTTGATTGAAAAAGAGTTTCATATGTTAATGCCCATAATATCTATTTATATAATCATAATGATATACCATTTTGTAACACAGAATTTGTTTGCATTTCTAAACATCAAATGTATAAATATGTTTATAATAATTATTTATATGCAAATGTCATATGATATTGTAATTTATATTGCGAGTAAAACCTTTATGTTTTATAAATATAAAAAAATTTCCATTGCATGATGTTTTTAGCTAAAATCTTAAATTAACCGTTTTTAAAAATCGAGTCGTTTAACAATAAAAGCCTAGTTTGATATTTTCTAAAAAATTTCGGGCCGGGCTTAGATTTTTATATATGATATTAGATTTTGTCAAGTAAATTAATATTTTAAATTTTGAAAATAAGGCTCCAGTATTTTTTGTTTGTTAATAGATTTTTTTACAACCAAAAAAAATTAAAAATTTATATATAAATAAATTGGGCCAGGGACAGCTTCTACAAAAACGGGGGGGGGGGGGTAGGAACAGTTTGCATCCAATTTTTATTTAGGGGGTTAGGATAACTTTATCGAGAGGTAATCTATTAAATTTTTTATATGAAATAGGACAAAATATAAAGATTACTACTTTTATTATAGTTATTATAATAAAATGATATTGCTAATCATCGACCAAATATTTTATCGCAAACAATCAAAGACATTATTTCCCAAATAAAACTTTCTGCTATCCTTTTAAATGTAATTTAAAAGTGTTAGACATTCTCAGAAAACTCATATTCATGCCAAACAATATCCTATAATAATGCATTTATTGGGCGGACAAATAATATTTATTTCGAGAATAAAAAAATTCGTTCGGGATCGGGCCGGGTAGGACAAATTTTTATAAAAAAATTCAGGAAGTACCGGGCTTGAAAAAGTTGACCCGTACAGATCACTAATATATACTTATTACTATCATTCATTAGATGCATTTAGAAGTGTCCATATTATAGAATCATAGCCTCATTTGTGGTTTGCACGTCTATTAAATGAAACAAATGTGTATTCATATAAAAAAAAAGGACAATTAATCGTGGTATAAACTACAAAATTTGTGCTCTTTTTCCTTTTTTTAAATTAACTGTTTTATTTATAAATTTAAAAAACACTATAATATTAAAACAAGTATATAAAAATATATAAAATTACTAAATAAAAATAAATATATATATACATATATTATAAATATCGGAGGCTCTAAAAAGAGCTTAATTTAATAATAAATATGTACCTAAAAAAAGTATAATTGTGTTTAAAAATTTCTAGTTGAAGTTTAAATATGGATTCGCGATTTTCGTTAATGGCACCACAGCTGCATCCTATGTATGAACATTTTTAATTAAATTAATCTAGTAGTATGTATGTCACTGGATGGGGTTGTTAAATATCCCGATTTGGGTCGATCTTTAACATAGGCCCGATTAAGATTCGAGCCAAAAAAATTATAAATGCTTTTGCTCATGGGTGAAATAAAGGTTTCGATTATTTGTGAAATATCTATATCCGTCCTATAATTTTGCTTATGGATTTTAAATTATAACAATGTAAAATATTAATAAAACTATTTTTTAATATATATATTACAAAAATAAGATTTTTCTAATGTTTTTTTGCTGGAGTTAAATGGTTAAAAACGGCGCCAGTTTTAAAATTTAGCAAATCTAACAAGATTATAAATTGCTAAGAATGGAAACAAAGAATATTAAAGAAATACAAAATATCTTTATATCATTTAAGAAAACATTACAATGTCGCATTTGGTAATTGTAATGTTATCTTTTAAATATTTACAATATAATTTAAGCCTTGATATGCTAAATCAACCAATTATGCTACAATGCAATCATATATTCTGCAAGTTTATTGAATTTTAATTCTTAATCTATATATGTATTAGAAGATGTGTGGAAAGTTTGTCTCATAAAAGGAATTCTGAGAAATGTCCAATATGCCAGACAAAATTTAATAAAATGTTAAATTTGAATTTATTTATATTATACTAAAATAATTTAGAAACTCTTTTGAACGACAAGATTTAAATCAAATTTCTTTAATAATAAAGAGTATTATATCAAAACTTAATGAAAAATATCCATTCTTTTGTAATTTTAATAAAATGTATTTATACTATAATTAATGATATAGTAACACTTACATATAGCCCAAAATTGTCAAACATTAATATTATTAACGAAAACAAAAAGCCATCACTAATATTATTAAAGAAAAATATGAAGGTTTTATATTATTGTATTAATGCTTAATTTTTAATTTTAGGCTATCAAAAACAAAATATTAAAGAAAAAAATTAAACCAATTGATGGTATGGTATTTATTTTTTTTTTAAAAAAATTTCATTGTATACATTTAAGAACATGGAAATATAGAGCATGATAAATTATTAGAAGAAATGGATAATAAAATCGCATATACTGAAAATGCAAGTTATATTTCACAAACTGATAATACAACTAGAAGCAATTCCAAACAAAATCAAGGAATATTTAGTCAAATACCATCTAACGATATATCTCTTGACAAACTTATATCACAAGTAAAGAGCAATTTGGATGAGGATAGTAATTTCCTAGACAGTTATCCTACAAATGATATTAGTAATGCCGGTATAAAACCCTCAAAATCTCACTCTGATTCCATATTATATCACAATCCTTTGGATAAACCCACAATAGAGCATGTAAAGGATAATAGCCCATATAATCTTATGTCAGACCCCTCTTATTTAAATATTTTTCCAGATAACAAAACTTATAAAAAATTAAATAATTCTAAAAAGTCTCATTCACTTAATAGTCTAAACTATAGAATGCCTTTAGTGGATATTACCAATCAAGCCTTGCCACTCTTAAATTATAAAAAAATGTATGAGGCTAATTTTCCCCCCTTAAATTCTGAAAATACTCTCTCACTTAAGTACCAAAGTGATACTCAATCATTGAATTCTATATCTGATAATAATTCATTGATTGACATATCAAAGGTTGAAGCTGTAGGTAATGAAAGATCAATGTTTAAAAGGAGAAGACCTCCCAGACTGCATCCCATATACAAATCAAAAATTGAACTTACCAACATAGAATTAAACAATGAAGCCACTAATAAAAAACGAGGAAGACCTCCCAAACTATATTCCTCAAAAAGGTATAAAAAATCTGGCAACTCCCAGACAAACCTCAATTTATTTTGCAAAGCTTCCCAAAAAATAGATGATATTAGTGACACATTCACTGAGAATGATTCTGTAATTGTTAATCCATCCAAAACAATAATCACTTCTAAAGAAAAGGGTAATAATTTTCAATGCAATGATTTAATTATCTCTAAAGATAATAATTCACCTAACCATGTTAATGTCACTAAAATTTCCAAGTATTTAAAATACAATGATGGTCATCAACATGAAGAATTAAAATATCATGATTTAAGTGATAAAGTTAGTAATTGTAAGATCATACTTAAAGATATAAAAAGAGTTATGTCATCCACTACTGTATTGTCAGATAATTCGAATTGTGTCAATTCATTATTTGATCCTGATTTAAATCATCTTCATGAAAATGCATGCCCTGTGATGAATGATCAAGTGGTGCAAACTAGCCAAATCATTTTCCAACCTTCCTTTCAACTTAATAAACCAAAATGCAACAATAACGTTAAGAAACTAGGTTTTTTTAGAAAAAAAATTTTTAAACGGCATTCATCTATCAAAAATGATTATATTCATAAAAAATCTCGTTCTTTTAAGCATTTGTTGCTGGAATCGGTCAAAAACTTGGAAAAAACGCAAGAAGTCATAATGAGGGAACTCAGCGAACTCAAAAAATCATCGCTGGAAAATTATAAGGAAAAAGAAACAAGCTTCGCATTTTTTAGGGAATTTACGAAATTTGTGGCCATATCGCCAATGCCAGAAACCAAAAATATGAATAAATATGGAAATTCAGCTCTAGGTAATAAAGAAAAGTAAACGTTTTTAATAAAATATAACATTTCTTTGCTTGAAAATCGGATTGCTCTACTTATGTTTTTATTGAAATGAGAAAATTGGCTATGAAGTTTGAAAAGACACAAGAATTCATTCATTGTCTAAAACTTAGGGGGGGGGGGGAATACACAAATTTCTAAAATTTTGGTGACGCCTTTTTTTTATGGAAAAATTAAAACATCCAAAAACATTTTTTTTTTAGAATTTCTAAAAGTTTAAAAACTGTAACAGGATTTACCTAAACTTTTAAAATTTGTGGAAGTTTTCATACAAGTTTTGGAACGCAAAGGATATAGTGAATCACTAATAAATATGTCCATAATATATTTTATTTATTTAAAGTTACTTATTTTTATTAATTTCTCATTTTCAAAATGGCCATATTAATTGCTATAATAAGAGATCGCCAAGGGCTGGCCCATGGAAATCGTTTTGGGGAATTTTTTGATCAGCCCATAAAATGTTTTTTGTACAGGTTTATCAGTAACAAAATTTCCAACACTTCAGCCCGGCCTAGAATAACATTTTACATAATTTTTTCACCCCTAAAACTTTTATTTTCGCTAGCCGGGCCACTGCCGATCTCTATACTGAATTACCCAATCCAAAATATTTAAATATCAACAAGCTTCTCTTTCTTTTTTCGAACGTGTATTCAAACGCCTAGTTTAGCTCAATGTTTTATTTGTATAAAATGCTTAGTAGAGCACTCCAAATGTTCAAGTGACCCTTTGTTTAGGACCGAGTTTGAAGAAATCTTCAAAAAAAAATTAAGCAAAGATCTTTAAGGCCGTGTCCTGGTTCGACTTATTTCTAAATAGTTGGTTGTTTAGCCATCTAGTTTCGATTAAACAGCCTAAAAAATGAGAAGTAATTTAGTTTTTAAGTATGTAACTCATTTAATTTTCAATATAAATTGTACATATCAATATAGTGGAGGTCACATGATATTAGCAATAGAAAAAATATATTATAAAAAATAAACTCATCAACTTAAAAAAGCGAAAATAGGGCGTCCTCGTTCAAAAGATGTTTATCCTGAGCTAAACAGAAATAAGTATCAAAAATTAGTCGAATCAGGAAACAGCCTATAGTTTTTTTTTCTGAAGAAGAGAAATTTTCTATTATAATTTACTTAAAGATGCTTGCCTTTTGTAAGTAAATTTTTAACTAATTTAGAATCATTAAAAAAATATTTTATTATCAGATACACCACCTTCCTTAGAAAGTTCTAAAATTGTGGATTACGCTGATTCTGAAGAGGATATGGGTAAAACAAACTAATTAGTATTTCATAAATTCTATTTCAGTTATTTTCTTTCAAGGTTCTTGGGAGTAACTAGGAATCTTTATAATTTTCAACTTTTGTATACTAAATTAAAAAGGGCCTTATTTAAAATCCCTTAATTTTAATTTTAAAAAAATAATAGTAATTACCAGAGTTGTTAAAAGATGCTTTTTAAATGGATCTAGATACAGATACATCGTCTAAAATAATATCTAGATACAGATATTTTAATCAAAAATCTATCTAGATACAGATAAGATACCACATTTTTATATCTAGATCCTTTAACAACTCTGGTAATTACTATACTTTTAATAAAACTGTTGAAAATAAAACATTGCTTAAAAAAATAAGTGTAACTTGGCTATATGGTAAAAATCTGGCATATGGTCCTTTCTTAAAATTTATGTGGAATGTAGCCCGCAGTGACGATTCCAAGATTTAACGGGGGGGGGGGGGGGGGTGTACGATAAATATATTATTTGTTTATTATATTCTTTGAAGTTGACTAAACAATTGGAAGTATTAATTCTAAAATCTATCCCAATATCTGTGCTTATGTGTGGTGTATTTTAAGAAGTATAGTAACCAGTATAAAAGAAAAATTTTCGCCAATTTTAATGATTAAAAAGCGACTGAAACCATTTATTTTGAAAATTTTATCAATGATAAATGCTTAACTGTATATTATTTTAATCCATTTGGTAGAGAGTATAAGAAAAAAAGTTATTAAGTATATTTTATTGCTTTGATTTGTTTGAGATAACGAAGGAGAAAAAATGTTATTGGTAAAATAAGGGAAAAAATGGCATCATACCAAAACAGAGAATATAGAAGTAAGTAAATATCTGCTTTGCCTTAATATTTAGTGCCTCATTAATTCCTTTAAAAACTTATGGTTTTCATATTTCAAAATAAAAATGAACTAAAAATTCACAAAAACTAAAATAACTTTTCTAGAAAAATAACATCAAATAAAATTTTCAAGAAAGTTAGGTAAAATTAGTAATATTTGAATAATAAAGCAAACTCAAATACCTGACTGTGGTCCTCAAAAAATCAGTCTCCTGTCTAAGACCGATAGGACCGGTCCGTTGACCTTCACTATTCTCTACGTCATTGGTATCCAGACATAAATTCCCATCATTTAAGAAAATCATGGATACGCTTATATAAGTGCTATATTATTCCCTCTTTTTTAAACTAATTAAATCATAACTTTTATTTAATTCTAATATTTTTTAAACTTTGAAAAATTTTAAAACCCCCTGGATGAATATATCTTAAACAACCGAACCCTTATCCCCCGAACCTTAAACTTTATATATTAATGTTCGGGTTCCTGATTGCCAAATTTTGAACAATTTTATTTAATTGTAGATAAATGTGAAATTTTTTTGTTTTTTTAAAGGGTAACTTATGGGTTTGAGAACTATCAAGTGATGCAAGGGGTTGGCGGTTCGATTCCCGTCGGGGCCTGACCCTTTTTAAATGAATTCAAGTTAGGTATTTCTATGTCAAGGTGTTAGTATATAGATAATACCGGCCAGGGCATAATTTGAGGATTTAAATTTTTTTTTGTTTAACTATTTTGTTCAGATTTAGCGCGTCGTGCATAAACGCTTTTTATACCTAATTAACTACAACATAACAAGCCTTATATAACCAGAAATGTTTTTTGAAATTTTTTTTATTTAATCCTCTTACTGTATCGGGCCCAATTTATCAAGCCTCCCGAAATTTTTCATATATTTGTTCGACCCGATCCAGAACATCTTTATTTATTTGTCCCAAATGCCCGACCCGAAATATAAAATATTTGTCCGTCTGGCCAGAATTTATTTAAATATAGAAGAAAAAAAAATTTTTCATTGTTGATCCAACTCAAGAAAATTATTTTTAATCACATGACTTTTCAGATTCGACAAATTATTAATAAAAATGATTAAATTTTATTAAAAACCATTGTTTTATCACCATTACAAATTTTTAAAAAACGTTTCAAGGCTCCGAATCACAAATAAGTTTTAATCTCGAAAATAAAGAGTCACCAAATTATTGTTCATCTTTCCCGATACTCTACCGAGCACTGACCTCTCCAGTTGACATTGATACCCCTGTGCGCCCCACTTTGATTACGAATACTAACAATGTTGAAGACACGATTCAACCGGAAGCGATGAAATTTATTACTGAAAATCGCGTTAAATTCGATACAAGTGAAGATAAACCTAATGACACTGAGAATAAGAACGACGTTTTATCATCGCCTATTGTCATTCAATGCACCCCAGACGAAATTTCTCATAATAGCCAAACTGACAAGGAACTCTCCAACTGCGAATATCTTATCTCTTCTCAAAAAACTTTAAATCGTAGGACAGGTGTCCTAAGAAGCATTGTTTACGATATGTCCGCACCTGATGAAAATATTTGTGAGAATAAAACGAGCACCGGTGATAATGTTAAACAAATTGATGATAAACGAGAAGGCGAAGTTTCCAGCAATAAAAATCTAGTATCCGAACTGGAAAATTTCGTAATAAAGGATATCGCCAACTCATCTTTTTCTCTCGGCTTCGATTCTGGAATGCATATTTATCCCGAGTCTAAAAAGGATCCTAAAATGCATACTAGCTATACGCGAGACATGGTTCATGATCTTCTGAATTCAAGTGAATTCTTTTTTTTTAAATAATTTTTTTTTGTTCTTATTTACAAAAAAAGTGTGGGAGAACTACTTCACGCATTGACGATCTAATTAACATTAAGGACGGTAGTTATTAAAACCCGTGCGCGAATTTTCCTTCCCCAATTTTGATTGGTAATTTGACCAATTTAGAAACAAAGCGATATGTATTTAATCAAACTAGCAAAAAAAATTAGTAATTCTTAATTGTCCAAAACAATGAAATCTTTCTAATTCATTTTATTTACTTCTCATTTGTGTTTTCATTTTTAAATCGGAATAAATTATAAATTAAGGTATGAAACTCGAAAATATAAGCGACGAGCGTATTACCCGCGACTTACCTACAACTCCTTCTAACTCTTCTTTTGCGAGTTTGGAGAAAGATAACATATCTTTTTTTCCACAATTTTCATCGGGAATCAGTGAATTACAAATAACCGCGGTAAAAAATGGCCCCCGAAAATGCTACGATAATGTTGAAGATTCCAACAAACAAATCATACCACAAGCTAATCAATCTAAAAATAATCTATTTGTCAAAACTTTCGATATTACTTCTCTTAACCCCTTAAAGTCGGTAAATTATCAAATATTTAATCATAATGTTTCTCAAAATAAAAATACCGCCGAGCAAAGCCAATCTAACGTTAACGCACTAGCTGCATCGCAGGATGATAGTAAATACAATTTAAAAGATTAATTATAAAGGATTTTTATTGCTCAACATTATGATAAATCAAACCACCCATTTCGGGTGAATAGAATAAAAGACCGGAAATAATTCACATATATAATAATTTACTATATATATTTTAATATAATAGCGATGTCATTTACTCCAGAGGACTTGTTCAATAATGCTCAAATTTTTGTTTCTAAACTAAATCAGCGAGAAATATCTGAAGAAGACAAAGAAAATATTATTTCACTCAAAACCGTTTCATCGCAAAAAACTACGTGTACTTTAGATATAATGACCGATGATTCTATCACCGATAATAATTATCTCGTGGCTTCCCCTTGTGTTTCCATAAAGAGGGAAACTAAACCACTCGTTTTAATTACGTCGGGACTTGCAGCTACTGAATCGGTTAGATAACACATAAACATAGTATTATAAAAAGACAGAAAATAATAGTATATAAATATGTAAAAAGTTGTGGTAATTTAGAAATAAAAATAAATAATTTTTAAATTGAAAGGCAAATATGTTTTATTATGATGGAACATGTTCAGAGTTAAAATTATAATATATTAAAAAATATGGTGTAAAAATTTGCAGTAGTTTAGAAACTTTCTCTAAATAATTGAAACCATATTTTTTAAATATATATATATATATAGCTAAAATATTAAAAAAACTACAGAGAAACTTCCAAAGATAGCTACCTCTTTGTTTTGACCCCCTACTTCATTCTCTCCCTGTCAAAATTCTATTAAAAAATGTTTTATACGAACATCCTTTTTTGACCAAAATTTATCCCCCCCCCTCTTCCCCTTGAGGTTTGTTTCTATCATTTATTAGGGCTGAACCGATCCAATCTTATATTGCTAAAAACCGATAGGATATTTATATTCATTTTTTTTTACCACCTATCTTTGAACCAATATCATTAAGGTATCAATATTTACTATTTTAAAAACAACTAACTTTCACGAATGATTAAGTGTATTTTGTTTTTTTTTATTCTCCATAAGTTAATAATTTATTTAAAATATTTGCAATGTTTATAGGTGAATGTGTAGTGTTGTTAAACAACTCCATTTGACCGATTTTTAAAAATAAGGATTTTAGCCAAAATATTATTACCTAAGTCTCAAAATTTCGCCAATAGATGTCCAAATCTTTCTCCCATATGTGGGAAAAATAAGTAAGCTTGAATAATTTACTTTTGACCAAAATCTTGAGTTAACCGTTTTCAAAAATTGGCTAATTGGAGCTGTTTAACAAAGCTGAATGTGAGATATTTTAAAATCCTTTTTTTGTTACAGACAATATAATAAAGATTAGTGTGTTATTTTAATTATTTTTTGCATTACAACAAATAAATTATATTTTAGTTCCTTTTATTAATTTATTATTGTAAATTATTTATAAAATAAAAAAGATAATATAATTATATATACAATCATAAAATAACCAATAAAAATAAAAAATATCTAATCGGTTTTTTAAAAAATAATTGGTTCCAATCCTATATTTGATATCGGCACAACTCTAATATTTATATCATAGGATGTAGTAGAATTGAGGGCATGCTGGAATAAAATTTAGGTTATTCTCAAAGTTTTGTAACATAGTTTTCTGAAATTCACAAAAAAATCAAATCTATTAAAGATTTTCAGTAATATATCTTACGTCAACGTGTACACTATTATAATTTATATTATATTTCCTTTTTTCCTAAGGAGGTGATTCATAAATTTTTGGGATTCTTCAATGCTACCCTCTTGCCAAAATATAGCGATGACGTCACTCATGTCATCGTAAAGACAGGTTTTGTTACAAAAAAAAATTAGTAACTTCTTTTAAAAAAAAATTTAGACGAAAATTTGAAATGCGAAAGGACCTTAAAATATTTCTTGGGAGTGGCCGGTAAAAAATGGGTCATGTCAATGGAATGGGCTAGATCATGTTTATCGGCTATGAAAATCATTGACGAAGTTTTCTACAAAAAAAAATAACCATCTATTCTTCTTTCTTTCTGTTAAAATTCGGTTAAACCCGTTTTTTTGGTGAATTGAAACCTGAATTCTTTTCAATAATGTTACTAGGAGATCTGAATCTTTTTTAAAAATTCTATAACATGACCGAAATCAAAATCTCTTTAACATATTTATTTTATAATCTCTCGACTTTTAAAGTATTTTAATGACCATCTCTTTTTTTAAATATTATTAATTAAAATGGTTTTTTAAACTTTTGTTATTACAGATATATATTTTTTTTAAATCCATCTCTATAACTATAAAATAAAATTCATTGACCTTTGTAGAGTATATTATTTTTTAATTATTAAAAATATTTTTTATAAATCAATTATAACGAAAATGATTTATTTCTAAAAGGAATATTTTGAAGTAAGGGGTGATACCTTGACGGAAACGGACACGTTAGCTCCCAAGATTTCCAGATTATCCGGATCTCATCTTAGATTAAATTCGACTCTATCCGTCGAAAGGGAAAACTTGCTATCTCGTTTCCAAATATGTTGTTTCGGAAATTTCACGGTTGACCTTCCGTGCGATGATCTAAAACGCTTAATAGCTCTGTGCGGAGCTAGATTAGTTAATTCGCCTTCATTTTTTAAATTGAATGGTTTAAAAAATACGCAAAATATGGTTAAATGTGATGGAAAAAAAATAGCTGTAATTGTTGCTCAGACAGAGGCCAACCCCCAACTAGATGTCAATAGATACAATGGTGAGTCATTTTATAAAAAAAAATCATTTAAAAAATTATAAAAGTTGTTTTGTAATCTTTCAAAATGATCAACTTCAGACCATTATAGTAAGAGGGAAAATGTTTAAATGGTCCACGTCATCTAATGTATTTGAGTAATGTAAATTTTTATTAATTTTAGATTATTTTATTTATCTTTTTATTGGTACTTTTAATGCCAGTTAAAAACAATTAATAAAAAAATTTTTAGAATTATTTATATTTAATTTTTTTTAATAGACTTTTATAGACGTTACAATGCTTTCCCAGTAGCCAGAGAATGGATTTTTGACTGTGTAGCTCTTTACGATGTTGTGCCATTGGTTCATTATCTACATTGTCAGCGTGATATTCTAAAATACCCCGATTTAAATTATGCAACTAAAATGAAGGAAGAATAGAAATTTATTATAAAAATAAATTGTTTTATAAATTAAATATTTTACATATCTTATTGATTAATTATATTACCAATACGCGACTCAAAATTTATTATAAAATCGCTTAAAATAATTTGGTAATGAATGAATAATATAATCTATATTGATTCTCATGATATATTTATAAATAATCCACAATGAATTATAAGATAAGATATTCATACAAATCGAATATTAAGGTGTTCATATTCTTTATGCGTCGAATAATAAGATATTCATATGTTTTTTATTAGTCACAATTCTATCGAAAAAAAAATAAACCAAATATTTTTTCTAGAAAGGATATTATCTTTAGCTTTATGTACATCATTGTAATTAGAAATGTTAAACGTATATATAGAAATAGATTCCTATGGACGCGTTCCAGGCAATGGATAGCATCCAATAGATTGAACGACCTTTCACAGAACATTGAATGATTTTTATTTATAATTTTAAAAAGGTTTGCATTTTTTGAAAAAAGGGAGATAAATATTTTTTTTCGAATATCCTCCCCCAACTTTTCAAGTGGAGGAAAAAAAAAATTCTGAATAATATTTTAGAAATAGGAGAAACATCCATGTCTTTTATATGTAAAGTTGACATTTGCCTAATTATAATAAAAATAATTTAGTTAAAAAAATAAAATATATTAATTCTATTTTATTAATTTATCATTGATTAAATAATTAAACCTTTTTTTAGAAACTAAATTTATTCTTCTATTTTCATAAAATCATCTAGAAGATTTTATCTTCCATTTTAAAAAGTATCTTGAAAAATTATAAAATTACATGAATTAGATAAAAAAAATTGTTTTCGATAGATATTCAATATGGCTAAACTAAATAAAGTAATCATTCATAAGTAGGCCTAAAACGAATTATTTGATATTCGATTCGTGTTTTACGAATACGAATAACAATTAATGAATAATGAGGAAAATTATTTATATATAAATATTCGCAAATATTTTATTGCAAGTAATAAAAATATGTAATTAAATTTTCCTAGTGGATATCATTTAGTTTTATTTTATTTCCTATTATCAAATATCAAATCATAACAAGTTATATTTGCTGAAAAGGTTTAATGGAAGAAAAAGAAAAGCTTCAAAGTAAAATATAATTATTTTATTTTGATTGTTTCTCTTTAATCATTTTTGATGTTATGAACAAGTCAAAACATTTTTATAGAGTGTGCCTCTTTCCCATATTCTCGAGCTCCTGGCAGATAAATAACTAAATTTTTTTGACTACTTCTTATTATTTGATTAGGAAAATCCTTTTCCCATTTAGTAACCTTATTTTTGGAAAATTTTAAAGACAATCTAATTCAGATATGCATTATAATATCTTCATCCTCTATTACATTGTCATAATCACCTCTAAAAATTATATTAATAATTAAATAAAGGAGATTTATGCTACTAAAGTATTTTTATATATTAAATAAAATCTATAATGAAATACTTTCTAAAATTTTGTTATATTTTATATGCAAATATTTAAAATGTAGATATTTTAAATAGATTATAATTTTAAAAATTTTATTTTGTCATAATTACCTTCACCTCTAACTAATAAAATGATATTAATAATAAAAATAAATACATGATTAAATAAAGGAAATTTATGCTACTAAAGTATTTTTAATAAATAAAATCTATAATGAAATACTTTCTAAAATTTTGTTATATTTTATATGCAAATATTTAAAATATAGATATTTTATATAGATTTTAATTTTAAAAATTTTATTTTGTCATAATCCCTTCACCTCTAATAAAATGATATTAATAATAAAAATCAATACATAATTAAATAAAGGAAATTTATGCTACTAAAGTATTTTTAATAAATAAAATCTATAATGAAATATTTTCTAAAATTTTGTTATATTTTGTATGTAAATATTAAAAATAAATTTTAAAATGTAGATATTTTATATAGATTATAATTTTAAAAATTTTATTTTGTCGTCATAATCACCTTCACCTCTAATAAAATGATATTAATAATAAAAATAAATACATGATTAAATAAAGGAAATTTATGCTACTAAAGTATTTTTATATAATAAATAAAATCTATAATGAAATACTCTCTAAAATTTGTTATATATTATGCAAATATTTAAAATAAATTTTAAAATGTAGATATTTTATATAGATTATTTTAAAATTTTTATTATATAAAAACTATTTAAAAAAATGTAATTTAACAATTACATAAAATATAAATTTAAAAAAATATATAAATAATACACTGTACTTTGATTAAAATAGTATTTCCATAAATTTTAAGAATTAATACAAAAATTATATAAATGTTATAACTAAGAATTTATTTTACAAAAATAGGTTTTGCTAATTCATAATAGGAATAAAAATAGTATATTAAAATAATTTTATTTTTTAAAAAAAGACCCCCCCCCCCATGCCTATGCCACTGTTTAATTAATTTACTGTTTTTTTCTTTCAGCTTCTAATGTGTCATTAATCTGGAATTTCAGGAAGGATGGTAAACTTGGATTTTATATGATATAATGTTAAAATATATTCAAAGGTCAATTAGAAAATCTTGATGGAAGAAGATGTGGTGAAGGACATAGTCAATTCTCAAATAGTTCAAGATCTACATCAATCTCTGATCAAACTGAACCTTTTAATGCTAGGCGGAAAAATTCTTTAATATGGAATCATTATCTCCATGATGCTAAAAAAGAAACAGCTAAATGTAAAATATGCAATGTGGAGATAATGTGCAAGAAAAAAACTACGTCAGCACTAATTAATCATAAAAGATTTCATCAAAAACAAAATAATACTATTAGAAACTATTTAAATGATATACCCAAAACAAATGCTGATGATGTTAAGCATTATTTATTAAAATTTTTACTAAAGTCAAATATACCTTTTAAAATTCTCGCCACTCAGGAATTCAAGTCCTTCGTTAGAGCTTTAAATCCTGAAATAAAAATATGCTCAATACCATCAATTAAACTATATATGAATGAAATTTTTAATAAAGAATTCAATAAAGTTAAAATAATTATAAATAATTTAAAATTTAAATTAACTTTACAACTGATATATGGTCAAGCCCTACTAATGTATCATTTTTAGGGTTGACCTGCCACTTTATTGATGAAAAATGGGAGATGAAATCATTGTTATTGGATATAGTTCCATTTACTGATTCGCATTCTGGTGAAAATATTTATAGAGAGTTTTCTCAAATTATAAAAAATTATAATATCGACATAAGTAAGATAGCAATTACTTGCGATAATGCTAGCTCTAATTCTACTTTCATAAAAATTCTTCGTATAAAACACCCAAATTGTGAAATTTTACATGTGCGATGTTTTGCACATGTACTCAATTTAGTAGTACAATACTTAAGAAAGTAGACAGGCAAGTATCAAAATTAAGAACAATCATAAGATTATTCGCAATTCTTTTACAAAGACAAATATTATGCAAAATGTATGCTCCTCCCTACTTCCCCCTATGAAATAATTAAAATTAGACACATCCATCAGATGGAATAGCTCTTATTTAATGGTAGAAAGAGCTATTAAAATGAGAAGGGCTATTGATGAAGTTGTGACTCAGATATATGATGATATATCTGATATCGAAAAAGAAAACTGAGCGAAGTAATTTTATTTTATTTACTAATTATTATTTTTTATCAGGATGATTGGACTACATTAATAAACATACAAAACAAATTAAAGACTTTTTTTGATTTTACCGAAGATATATGTGGTGACACATATCCTACCCTAAATCTTGTCATCCCTTTCTATGTTTCTTTAATCGAACATTTAAATTCATTTGATCTCGATTTTATAAACTCTATCAGTGCGATTGAGAAAATATAAACTTATTATAACTTAACAAATATTCACACTATAATATCAACAATATTGGATCCTAGACTAAAAATGGAATTTTTTGAGCAACTACTACCAACTACATATAACATAGACACGACAAATCTATTAGAAAATTTTAAAGATGTATATAATGATTTAAAATATAATATCAAATCAACATCAGTTAACCCAATAGTACAGTCGAACATGGATAGAATTTTTAGACAAAATAACATCGCATCAGTATGTGAGGTGGAGACATATCTTAACGAAATAAGAATCAGTTCAAATAAGAGTCCCTTAGAATGGTGGAGATTGCATGGGGATCGTTTTCCTGTGTTGTCGAAAATGGCAACTGATATATTGTCAATTCAGGATCTTCGGCTTCATGTGAGCGGTTGTTCTCAATAGGAACAAATATGAATAAAAAATAGAATGTCTTTGAAGGAGGAAACTATTAGAAAGACTTTATGTTTAAAAAATTGGATATTATCAAATTCGGATTTACTATATTTTTGTGTATTATTTTCTATTTTTATAAAATGAGATTATTGTACATTTTTAGAAAATTTTAATAAAATTTGAATATTAGATTGAAGAAATAGTTTAAATATTTTTTTATAAGCAATTCTAATTCTAAAAATCGGATATTTTGGTCAATTTGTTTGGTTAACGTTATATGAAATCATTGGGTTTTATTTCGTTTATTTTCTATAAATTTTTATATTGTAATGACAATAGTTTAGAGAATCCTTAAAAGTGTCATCTTTAAACATCTGTAAAAATTTTTTTGCAAAATATTTTATAAGCTTTAGAAAAATTTTCGAATCGAATCGAATATTCGACGAATCGAAACGAATAATGATTTTATTATTCGTACGAATACGAATAGCGCAATTTTCGAATCGAATACGAATAGTAGTATTATTCGATTCGATTCTTTTTTTTGTAGGCCTATTCATAGGCACTAATGACCATCTAATTGTTCAGTCAACTTCATGGAGCTGATAATAGTTATTACATATTTTTAAAGAAAGGGAAAAGGTGTGAATAAAAATGCTTAATTAGAATTTATAAGAGACACCTGCCTAGGC